CAGAAGTGTAACGGTGTCTCTCTGTCCACACAGAAGTGTAACGGGTGTCTCTCTGTCACACAGAAGTGTAACGGTGTCTCTCTCTGTCCACACAGAAGTGTAACGGTGTCTCTCTCTGTCCACACAGAAGTGTAACGGTGTCTCTCTCTGTCCACACAGAAGTGTAACGGTGTCTCTCTGTCCACACAGAAGTGTAACGGTGTCTCTCTGTCCACACAGAAGTGTAACGGTGTCTCTGTCTCACACAGAAGTGTAACGGTGTCTCTCTGTCCACACAGAAGTGTAACGGTGTCTCTCTGTCCACACAGAAGTGTAAGGTGTCTCTCTGTCCACACAGAAGTGTAACGTGTCTCTGTCTGTCCACACAGAAGTGTAACGGTGTCTCTCTGTCCACACAGAAGTGTAACGGTGTCTCTCTGTCCACACAGAAGTGTACCGGTGTCTCTCCTCTCTGTCTCACACAGAAGTGTAACGGTGTCTCTCTCTGTCCACACAGAAGTGTAACGGTGTCTCTCTGTCCACACAGAAGTGTAACGGTTGTCTCTCTGTCCACACAGAAGTGTAACGTGCCTCTCTCTGTCCACTCAGAAGGACAAATGGGTCCACGACGGCAGGTCGCGTGTGATAGGGTAAATTGTGGGTACACCCACCTCTTCCAAGACGTTTGACCAGTATGGAGGACTGCTCCTCCATGTTAACACTAATACCGTCTAGAGTTCCCGCGAGATATGGCTCTTCCACTCGCAGTGACATAAGCGAGCAATTGCAGAGTTGTATCTTTGCCTATTAACTTGAAACAAGGGAAAATGTACCACGTGGTGACTTTGGCCTGCCTCTATACCATTTGCAAGTTCACTCGTGCCAATCGGTGCATTCATTAGTAAGATTCCAATGAAAACTATGACTTATTCCTGATTTTCGGAACCGATAATCGTTTCTGAAAATGGTTACGGGCTTACTAGTTGTCATTTAACAAACACCACGCGTATACATTTGTTTGCCTTTGGAAGTAATTAATTGGCAGTAGGCAGCTGAAAATTAGCTGCCAAGAGAAAACATAAAAAAGGATATTTTTTGCCAGTATCAAAGTACGAAAAAATAAGAAAAAATAATAAGGGTAAAACCTGTTCTTATTTTTTCAAGGCAAAACATCATTGCAAATCGTTATTTTGGTGCTGGTTTGTATCTCCAAGGTGTGGACAACCCTTTGATAATATTAAAAATAATTATATAGTGATCCTGCGCAATGGTGCACAAGCACAAATAACATAACTCAACACATTCGTTAATGGCAGCGTTATTGACGGATGTGTTGAGTTATTTTCTCTTTGATAACATCACACCGTAATACTATAGTTGGTAGATATCTTTACGAGAGTAGTAATTATTGGTTGTAAAGTTATCAAAAAATATCAGCATCATATGCAAAACAAAGACTTTAATAAGAGCGCATTGCTGTTTTATTTTCTAGAAAACTGAGCTCTTAATGAAAAGCAACACGCATCACCATCAACAGTGCATCAACATCAATGTGTTTTACATGGGTTTTAAACCTGGGTGTGACAAAGAAAATACAACTATTGTTGGTGGTCTTGCGTAGAGATGCACAATACTTAGGATAATCACTCCAAGAGAGGAATTACTTCTGTAGATGGGTATGGTGCCGCATGCATGAAATCCAATGCTTTATTGTTAGTTGTGGTGCATTACTCCCGTAATATTTTTTGTTGCAGTAAGATGTCTCATTCTGGCAGCCTGGTTTCGATTCACAGTCACAGCTAACATTATCCGTATCACGAACAAGCCTGCTGCCTACGCAAAATCACTTGTCTAATTATCTACAACAGGAAATTGTGTGTTTGCTGCACAACAATGATAAATGCGGGCCACTATGCACTGAACGGGGGGAAAGGGAAACCCAACGATGCAGGGGGTAGATTAATGCCAGTTTAAGGAACACATTTATATCTATTCTGCATTGCAAAATGAAATATATAGAGACGTTCACTGGTATTTTGTCCTGTACTCTGTTCTTAAAGTGTATGGCTCTCCTTTTGAAGATACCTTTAGAGGCAAGCCGCAGAAAAGTTGGTGTAACTACCGACTATGCTTTTTAAACATCCATAAGCCTGTATGGTGCAACTTACTGCATCAACCACAAGTTTGTTTGCCTTAGCAATTCACAAGATGCCATTTTGCACTGAGACTAGCAAGCTATAGATGCAATCTAGAGCCACTGGGTTTTTTTTTGCATCCACGATTTTCTCTGTCCACCTTAGCAGTGTTCACTTGCAGATCTCGAGCTCATCCAAACCTTACTGTCGAGCAATGAAAAAGAGGCTGACTGCCATGTAAAAGGATGGCAATAACTTTGTTTATGCATCAGTTTTATATGCACATGATAGTCCGTGTTGTGGGTTTTCTCTCCAACACACCAGTGTCCTGAACTCGTCACTAATTGGCATGTTTTGTGTACGTGACAATCCTGACTAATTGGCTGTGTCGGGTGGTGGCAGGTTTAACGGCACGTTTATATTTACGCGATCTAACCAAGGAAGAAGTTACTATTTTTACACATATAATTTCGTTCATATATAACAGCTTATTCTCGGGTACTATCTTTACCTTGAAATTGAAATATGGGGACTGCATTAGCTATGGTGTAGAAACATGGCAAACCCCACATCGATTTAACTAAAAGTAAAATATACAGAAAGATAACATTTATGGCAAGAGCCTCTCTGCTTTTGAGATGTTTTGGCAGTGAATATAAGGGAAAAGTCAACAGTGAGCAATGGATACCAGCGTGTGAAGTTAAAGGTGGCTTTTGATTTAAAGCTTTCGTGACTGCAGGGATTCATATTCTTGGTTCTTTCGTTAAAGTCACGTAGAAGGGAAAAAATAAAATATCACACCTGATAATGATTGCTTGTGTTGCAGTCGAAACGTCGTCAGAATTTTATTGTTTTATATTTTTCTTATTTTATTTTTTCCCTTCTACGTGACTTTACCGAAAGAACCAATACTATTAAAGGTGGCTATTATATGGAATGTTTGGCTTCAGCCAGTGTCGCAGGGTCACCGATGGAGACGACCACCGGCCCATGCCGATTCGAGCAATGATACCGTTTTGACATTGAACCAACGAGAGCGATCGACTTTACCAATTTTCCGCCTTCGCACTTTGTATTTCACAGAATTTTCCGGTGCGCAAAATGCGGTTGAAAAAACTAAAAACTCGTCTAGATGTGCAGGAGGGGGGCGCGGGAGGGGGCAGTTGGTCAGGGGCTGGAGTGGAGAGGGGTATGGGGAAGGTTTGAGTAAATCAGTTAGCAGAAGCAGTGAGGTCACAGCCATTGTGATGTCACAAGTCTCATGGAAGGAGTGAGTAGCTGGCGAATGACGTCCCTGAGGTCAGAGACCATGTGATTTCACCAAAACGAATGCAGAAAAGCAGATTGTGCTGCTAAATATAGTTTGCTTTTGAGGGCAGGGTGTGTGCATGAGTGTGTGTTCTGTGTTTGTGCGTTGTGCCCCTGTCTCTTGTTTTTCACAATACACAGCAATGCAATTTCGACCTCGAACGCAAATCTCAATAAATAACAGGATATGTCATAGAGGAACCACAGGTTGTTGGAGGAGGACATCGATCATGAAAGTGTAATGCAAATCAGAATGATGTTATAAGAGTATTATTTAAGAGTGATGACGTAGTGGCGAGCTCATTGCGAGGTGATATCTGAACCAGATTTGCCTGGTGCTCGATCTTTACCGTTTTAAAATAAACGCAGTTTAACACGCCTGATGATGCTGGATGTCATTACCAGCGAAACGCCGTATTCAACTTGTAAGTGTTGTGGATTTACTCTCCAACACACCGGTGGGCTGACGTTGTAACTTATTGGCGCGTTGTTGACGTGACAAATCCCTTACTGGCTGTGTCGGGTGGTGGAGGGTGACGACACATTTATACTTACGCGATCTAACTCAAAAAACTTTATTATGTTTAACATAAACTCATTAACACCATTTCTATAATAATATTTAAGGATAAATTAATAACATCGACAGTAATTATATTGCACAAACAAGTTATACACTAAAATTTTTATTTAAAGCTTTCCTGACTGCAGGGATTCATATTCTTGGTTCTTTCGGTAAAGTCACGTAGAAGGGAAATAATAAAATAATACAGATATAAAACAATAAAAATTCTCACGACGTTTCGACTGCAACACAAGCAATCATCATCAGGTATGAAATCCACAGCAAGAAATAATAAGTTATACCCTTTTATAATGCATAGTTCATCGACCTAGATCGTCAAATCATGGATCAAACATCACAAATAAAAGAGAACCGGAGCAAATGGAAATAAACGATCCATACAAATCTGAAAAAGACTTTCAAAGCACATTGATGCCTTTAAGTGAGTCCAATAATTTTATTTGTCATTTAATACGTTGAAAAAAAATTCACGGTTACAATAAGTCAGTAAAATTATTTAATCTATATAGGTATGTATTTCATCATTAAATGTAAAATAAATTGTATATTTATATTCATCATCAGCATCGCCCACTATCCATGTTCTCACGGCACAGGATGAAGCCCTCATGCAGCAGTGGATCAACAGAAGGGCTGTACGCGCACACATCACGCCTAGGCACATTGTGCTACACGTACCGCTTTGTGTCGCACGTGCATTTCCCAAGTTACATGCGGTGCAGTTTACGCAGTTGACCATCCTTCGCCTGCGTGCGCCACCCACTCCCGTCTCTTCCCACTCCGTCACGGCTACACACCGCACTGATAACCAAACTCGAGCTCTGGTCACAACCTTATCTGCGTGCGCAGACGAGCGCCGTCAACGCTTTCTCACCTTTAGCCGACCCAGCCTCCCCACTCGCTGACCCCCCCCGCATCACACGAAGCAGCCCGCATTATGAGTTTTGCTCCGATTTCGAAAGCGGAGACAGAAACACGCTGAAGGCGGCAGGTGCAGCGGGTAAACAGAGGGGAGTCTGAGCAACTCCGGCTCTCCCAAGACATCATGCTTCCCTCTTGCTTCGTTATGGCGGGTAAGCGCTACCTACACACGCGCATATGCACAAAGTACAGAGAGGCCTTGCCTTTAAACACCAGGTGGTGCAGTCATGCCTGACTGCTGAAGAGACAGTGAATACCTAAACCGGCGTTGAAGCGTTGTAATTATTCCCTGACAAGAAAGCCGTGTGACTGAAGAAAAATGTTCTAACACACTTTTCAAAAAATGTACGTGGAGGATACAGATTGTATACTCATGTATGTTATAGTGAATGAGATGTTAACAAAAATAATTCATTTACTATAGTAGTAGTATCGTAATAAACAACTTTGAGCATGCACAATTTTGCGAACGGACCGCATCCTTGGAGCGCAACTCGGAGGCGCGGCGCCCAGATCCGCGCCTCCGAGTGAACATTTCGCTGGATGAGGTGCGCGCTTCGGTGCTGTTCGACAGTCCTTGGTCATCGGATACCATACCAATATGCCCAACTTATTTCAGGATAATTTGAATGACATACGACGATTGCTATGGATCAATAAATACAATGGAATAAGGCAAATGGTGACAATTTAGATTTATTTTTTCTGGCATTTTGACATTTAAAACATTTTTCATGACATAAGCATGTTTCTTAACACGCAACACGAGTTAATGATGTGTTTTTTGTATTATTGACATTGTTGTGGACACTGGAGCAGAGGTGTACATTACAGTACATTGTTCATTTACGATCTATTTCAGTGTAAATGTAACGTTTTCATGACAGTATATGCTACAAGATATTAAACCATAATAACCACACTGGGCTCTTTAAAATGATCAGAAATTTTACAAGTGAAACTTAGATTTTTTATGTTTTAAATCCAATGTTACACGACCTGCTTTGTTTGTGCCTCTGAGCCAGTGGTGAAAATTCCACATTCCTATGGTGGGAACCAGTCCACATATAGGCTATTCACTGTGAATACACAATTGCATTAATTCACTGCATGATTGCGTTCACATATACGGTGTGTATAGCCACAGCGTTAACAGTGCTGGGTGACACTGAGCTTAGAGTGCTCGACTCACAGTCAGCAGTTTGCAAGGTGAATTATCCATTCGTGAGTTATTATCCCTCAGTTTATCATCCCTCCAAGGTCAATAAAACGAGTACCACTTTGTGGGAGGACATGGGAAAATGGAGTTAATAAAACTCACTCAATCACCAACGTAGATGCCGTTCGTTGCCAAAGAGAAACACGCTCACACCACGGACAGGCATGTGTGGGGGTCGCTAGCCCCCGAAATCCCTCCCTCGATAATGCTAACGGCCGGGCTAGCATCATCAATCGCCCCCCTGCTGCTAAGCGAACCGCTGCTGAGTTCCTCACCCATGGTGTGGGAGCCGTCGCCCGAGGATTCCCCTCCACCGCGGGTCCGCGTAGCAGGCATGGTTAATTACGTACGCGCACACCCACACACACAGCTCTGTACGACAAGATCACGCGAGACCACGCTTCGCTATTAATGATTTATTACCTGGTAACTAATGTTCAATCAGTGAGTCGACGAGGCTGGCCTATTCCACTAAACCGGCACCTATTCCCTATTTATCGGCTATGATTCTAATTCACCTTCTTACTCACTGTTAAGTGTCCACGGCGGTCCGCTGATCCCGGTGTTAACCGCGTGCCTCGGTGCGTCGCACGGACGTCCGGGTCGCTGGCTCGAGCTGCGTCTGGTCGCCTGGCGCTGGAGTAAGAGAGCGATTTCCCCTCTGCGCTCCTCTATTTATCCTCCCTACCTCCAAAAGGGATGCTGCGCTGAACAATGGGCTCGTGCACCCCAAGCCCGCGCACGGCAGTCCCCAGGCGCTGTTGATATGCTAATCAGTGAGCGACGTTGGCGGCGTACATCCTAATTACTCCCTTACCCTTCCTAACAATGGGGCCTGCGCGCTCAAGCGCAATTATCCCAACCCCCCATGACTATGCGCAACAGCCCCTGTGACCCCGCTATTCATGCTGTCTCGTGCCTCCCCTGCTTGCCCCGTCGACTCGTGGGGGTGTGTGTGGGGGGAAATGCGCCTCAACCGCGGTGGCCGAATGCCCCACGCCGCGACCATACCATATTAAGGCCGGCAGCAGCGCCGCGGTACCACGTAGCACGGGGGAGGTCATCCAATTCCCTGATCGCCGGAAACCGTGAGAATTAATCCCGATAAGGGTCTCTCGGATAAAAACCGGTCGATCAGGTAACCTTCCCTTCCAGCTCTATGGGGGGGGGGGGGGGGATGCGTGCGGGTGTGTGCTTATGTGGGGCGGGTGATGGGGGGCAGTGCGGTGGGGGAAGCCGGGCGGCTCCCTGGCTCGGCAGAGCGGCCCCGTCGCTGTGGCACCACATAGCCCCCCGGGGTGCCAGTCCCCGTCCCGGGTTGACTTGAGCACCTCGCCTGGGTTGCCCCCACGAGGTATCGCCGCGGGGTCCGCGGGATTCGCCCGGCCCTTGTGGCTGGCCTCGGGGGTGGCGGCTCCGTCTCCTGGGGCTCCGGCGGTGGTCTCCTCCTCCATTCCAACGGCTCCCCTCGGCCTCTGGCACCTGCGGGCTGGGGAACAAACTCAGAAGCGGTGGGGTTTAAGGGTCGCCGTCCTCGTCGCCCCCGGCCCCGCCCGGGGCCCCTCGGAGCCCTGGGCTCCGTGGGGCCCATATACTGCGCGAGGCCCCCGGGCACGGGGGATGCGGGTACTCCGGGATTTTGGGGCCTTCGGGTGACGGGGTTCTCTCTCGCCGGGGCCGCTTTCCACGGTTTTAAGCGGCGGACATTGACCACCGTCTCTCGACCCCTCTCCCCGCCATCAATTAGTACCGTCCAGGGGGAGATCTGTCGCACCACGGTCCAGGGTCCCCGCCAGTAGGTCGTCAGTTTCCCCACCTGCCCGGCCCCGACGCGAGGGGTGTGTAGCCACACCTTAGCACCTGTCAGGAACAAGGGGGGTTCCATGCGGGGTCGGGTGCCCTGTTCCTGCCGCCGATGCGCGGCTTCCCCTTGCGGGTATGCTCGGCCTCGGGCTTCTCGTAGGGTCTCCAACAGGTGTTCCACGGGGCGGCTTCCCTCCTCCGGCTGGGGGGAAGGGACGCCGAATAGCAGATCTGCGGGTAAACGAGACTCACGGCCGAACATCATTAAAAACGGGGTTTGTCCCGTCGACGTGTGTACGGTGGTGGCGTAGGCGAAAAGGGCGTAGGGGAGGTGTTCATCCCAATCCCGTTGATTTGCGGCCGCCATACGTTTGAGTTTCCCCGATAAAGTCTGATTCATGCGCTCCACCATCCCGTTCGCCTGGGGGTGGTACGCTGTGGTTCGGTCCTTCTGGATTCCGAACTCTCGGCACAGTGCCTGGAACAACTCGGCCTCGAACTCGCTACCCTGGTCGGTGAGGACTCGTTCTGGGATCCCGTGCTTAAGTACGTAGTGTTCCACAAATGCCCGGGCCACCACCAAGGCCGTTTTATCAGGGATGGCCACTGCCACAGGGTAGCGGGTGAAATACTCTACTGCGACTAGGATATATCGGTTGCCTCGATGGGATCGCGGGAATGGCCCCTGTAGGTCGATCCCGACCAGCTGATTCGTGCGGCTGACGCGGAACGGCCTTAGGGGTACCTGGTATCGTGCCGGTTTCGGCCCGCACTGCTGACAGGCGCGGCAGCCCTGTACCCAGGCCGCCACGTCTTGTGCCAATTTGGGCCAGAGATACTGGCGACGCAGGGTCTCTCGAGTACGTCGTTCCCCATCGTGGCCCCCGAGTGGGTGGTCATGCACCAGCCGTAGCAGCTGGGGTCGCACCTGGGCAGGAACACAGATGCACCCCGGCTGGCCGGCCTCGGTTAACTCCCGTACCACTCCGTTCCGCACACACAACCGGGCATACAAACCGCTCCAGGGTCCTGGTAGGGCGCTCTTTTCCTCCCGCAGTGCCGCCTCCACTGCCGCCAGATCCGGATCTCGCTGCTGGGTCTGTCTCAGCTGCTCGTCGTTTAGGCCCGGGAAGGCGCAGCCGACGTCCTCCTGGATCCGTCCAATCGGGTCCCGAGCCGCGGGTCCCGCGCTTGCCGGGCGGTCGACGGGATCCTCAGTGTCACCTGTGAGGGTTTCCGTGGCGCACACTGCACTCTCTCTCGCTGGGGGGGGGTCAGTGGCCGCGGCCTCTCGGGGGTCCGTTGCCTGCCGGCAGCGTCCCCCCGTGAAACACGGGCAGGCCTCCTCCGCCCTCGTCTCGGCGTACACCGTGGGTCGCCTCGACAAGGCGTCCGCGTTTGCATGCGTCCGGCCAGCCCGATACTCGATTTGCAGGTTGTACTCCTGCAACTGCGCCAACCACCGGGCCATCTGCCCCCGCGGCTCCTTGAATGTAAGAAGAAACTGCAGAGCATAATGGTCAGTGCGTACGCGACATCTCCTGCCGTACAAATACGGCCGGAACTGTTTGCATGCGAAAATCACGGCGTACAACTCTTGGCGGGTCACGCAATAGTTCAGCTCGGCCCCACTCAAGGTCCGGCTGGCGTACGCGATGACTCGTTCCGTCCCATCCTGTACCTGTGACAACACCGCGCCCAGCCCGCTGCTGCAGGCGTCGGTGTCCAAAATAAAATCGGTGGTAAAATCGGGGAAAGCGAGGGTGGGGGCGTGGGTGAGGTGGTCTTTGAGAGTGGTGAAGGCCGTCTGGCAGGCCCCCGTCCACTGATAGGGGTGCTTAGGGGAGGTGAGTTGGGTGAGGGGGCGTGCAATCTCGCTGAATCCCTTTACAAATCGACGATAATAGGTGGCGAGCCCCAAAAATGATCTGATCTCCGTCAGATTCCTTGGCCGTGGCCACTCCACTACGGCGCGTACCTTCTCCGGATCGGTGCGCACGCCTGCCTCGCTGACGCGATGCCCGAGGTACCCCACCTCGCGTTGTGCGATGTAACACTTACGTGGCTTGAGCTTGAGATGAGCCGCTCGCAGTCGCTGGAACACCTCTCGAAGCCTGGACCAATGCTCAG